CCGCGGTTTGGGCCGCCGTGAGGGCGGTTCTCTCGGGGCAGGTGTTGTGGGAGCTCTGTGCTCTTCCTGCTCCCGCTGCAGCCGCGTGTGTGCTCGAGTCGCCGGTGGGAGGGAGGCCCGGCAGGCCGGCATGGCGCTTCGCGGGCTATCCTTCATCTCCTGCCCGTGGCGGTGCCTGGGGAAGCCTCCTCGGTCCGTGCCGCTCTGGACGGTGGATGCACGCTGTGGTGCGGTGGGAGATCCGCGTAGGCAGCCCTCTGCCCGCACGCCGCTGCCTGGGCCAGCTTCGCTGTGTCGGTGCCCGTGAGGGCTGTGAGCCGACCTGGGAAGCATCGGAAAAATCCGCTTTTACACACAGCGCTCTCTGCGAGTTCGTGCTTTGGCAGCATGCGTGGTAAACGTGGAACGAGGGAGAAGATTAGCACAGCCCTTGTTTAAGCATGACGAGCTGATTCCATGAGTTTTGTCTAGGCAATTCAGTGAAAGCTGCTCCCCCCGCTCTGAAAGTTATTGCTGTGTCACTTCAGGCACTGAATAAAATGCCCGAATTTCAAGCATAAACGGTAATACCTAGTTGTGATCTTACAATAATGACACGTTTCTGCCAATCTGTTTCATAATCCTATGTTAAGAAAAAAAGGCAGTTTGCTACTGGTTTAACACGATGACAGTATTGATATAAGAAAGCGAATTCAGTATTAGAATTTAAATCCCTATTCTTACTGTAATTGTGTTTAATGCATTCTGTACTGGAGAAGTATAAAAATAAACAATGACGTCAAAACAAACCCAGAAGCAACAGTTTGTTTTCTGCTACGAAAGACTTCAGAAATTAAATAACCTAGTACTGCACGTTTTCACAGACTCACAGAAGGGTTTGGGTCGGAAGGGACCTTAAAGACCATCCAGTTCCACCCCCCTGCCATGGGCAGGGACACCTCCCACCAGACCAGGTTGCTCCCAGCCCCATCCAGCCTGGCCTTGAGCCCTGCCAGGGAGGGGGCAGCCACAGCTGCTCTGGGCAGCCTGTGCCAGGGCCTCACCACCCTCACAGGGAAGAATTTCTTCCTAATAGTTAATCTCAATCTACCCTCCTCCTGTTTGAAACCGTTACCCCTCATCCCATCACCACTCTCCCTGATCAGGTTCCCTCCCCACCTTTCCTGCAGCCCCTTTCAGCACTGAAGGCCGCTGTAAGGTCTCCCTGCAGCCTTCCCTTCTCCAGGCTGAACACCCCCAACTCTCCCAGCCTGTCCTCACAGGGGAGCTCCTCCAGTCCCCTGAGCATCTTCATGTCCCTCCTCTGGACCCACTCAAGCAGCTCCATGTCTGTCTTGTGCTGGGGGCCCCAGAGCTGGACGCAGCCCTGCAGGGGGGTCTCACCAGAGCAGAGCAGAGGGGCAGAATCCCCTCCCTCGACCTGCTGCCCACGCTGCTCTGGGTGCAGCCCGGGATGTGACTGGCTTTCTGGGCTGCGAGCGCACGTTGCTGGGTCACGTTCAGTTTTCCACCCCCCAGCACCCCAAGCCCTTCTCCCCAGGGCTGCTCTCCATCCACCCTTCACCCAGCCTGTGTCTGTGCTTGGGTTGGCCCCAACCCAGGTGCAGGACCTTGCCCTTCGCCTTGTTGAGCTCCATGAGGTTTGCAGGGGCCCACCTCTGCGGCCTGCCCAGGTCCCTCGGGATGGGCTCCCTTCCCTCCAGCCTGTCAGCCGCACCACAGGTTTGTATTGAAGCAACTGAAGCAATTTTGTGTTGCTTCGTGCTGTATCGTTTGTTCTTTTTTCCCCCGAGAATTTTGAGTAAAAATTTTCTGATTCAGCTGCTGAAACCCTTTCCCTAAGGAGAAATTTGAAGTTTATCTTTACAATGATTTCCCTAAAATGATAGAGGGGGTCTCCTGTCTCCCTTCCTCCCTAGTTTCACTCACTTCAATACAAGGTGCTGCTGTTGCTGAAGGACTGGGTCCAGCACACCAGCCCGGCTGGCCATTCAGCTAGATGAATGCTTATGTTGGCACAAGGGGAAGAAGGCATGACTGGGACACAGTGCCTGGAGGATCTTAAAAATCTGTTACTATAAATTCATAAGAAAGGAAGAAGAGAGCTTTGCTTGTGTTAAAAAACCCATCTTGATATTCTGACTGGATCTTTGTAAAGCGGCCTCTGAATAACCATAATGACTTTCTTCCACAAGTAAAAAAATAAACACTGTTTGAAAAAACTACATTTTTTAGAAAATACAACTTGGAAATTAAAAGACTATTAAATATGTAACGAGAGCTGGGATGCAGAGTTTATTTAAGTCCTGGCAATTTGTCATTTACTTCGACCAGCTCTGGATTTCCTTCCCTCCCTGTTTGGCCAGCAGTTACGTGGAGCTGGTCTAGCTGACTGCTCCAGCCCTGACTGGGAGGCCCAACAGAACGGACAGGAGATAGTAGCAGTAAAAAGCAGCCATTCAGTCGATGCGTGATCCCCTTTCAATGCTGCTGACGTCGTAACAGAGATCTTCAGAACTTAAAGATCAATTGATCTTAAATTTATTACTTAGAAACACTGTGAAGTGAAATATTAAGGGTATGTAATTTCTAAAACTGAATGTGTTTCCTTGAGACAAAGCAGTGAAAGATTATGAAGATTCTTTTCTCTCCTGAGTCTCTGAGACAACGAAAGGCAGAAGCGCTGTGCAGAGTGTGCATGCTGGTGGCATTGAGCTGTGTAGGTTCTCCAGGTGGGAATCATGTTCCCTTTGGAATGACTATTTGTGCGTTTAAATTCAGCAGTTTGCTTAGACTACTTCCTAAGCCTTTTTTTTTTTTTTTTTAATCTTGCCAGGTATTATTTAGTGGATAGAGATAATCATTCTTACAAACTAGCATAAATCTTTATTTTAAGGATTAGGAGATTTCCACCCTTTCAGGTAGAAAAAGTATACTTTCATAAAACTGCATTTCCCATAGTGCACAAGGGCTTTCTAGGCTGGGTCAGCTGATCGAGATTGTGAAATGTTCCTTATTTCCTGTCCAACGTGCATGGAAATGACTTGTGTGTGTGAATGTCTCATCTTGCCTTCGTCAGGTGATTTAAGGGCCGTGGACCAGAATTGTGATTTAGAACAATGGCAAGAAGCTGAGCTGATTAACTAGCTCGGTCTTCGGAAAACTGCTTCGTTTGGGGGAAAGTGATGTCATGAAGAAGTAACGTACTGCCGTCTGCTCTGTTAACTTCATGGGAAAAGGTAGAGAGGATCTTGAGCTTTACCTTTTGTATGAGACCTTTGGGGGGGTTTTGGGGGTTGGTTAATTTTAGTTACTGATTTTGCTGTACATTTAAGAGAGTTACCAGATTTCTTGATTAGTTGATGGTTATGTCCTAGCAGCTAATAAGTAGCCCTAAGCAGTCATCATTTTTGAGGCTTTTTCTTTTTTGATTTATTCTTTTTGCTTATTTGTTTTTAACAGAGGTTAAGAGGAAGCTTTTAAAAGAAAAGAGAGTTTTTCCAGACTGAAGCTGAGGACCTGGCAAGAAAACACAAAATGTCTCCTGAATCAAAAAAACTTTTCAACATCATTATTTTGGGAGTCTCATTCATGTTTATATTCACTGCTTTCCAAACGTGTGGAAATATCGCGGTAAGTGTGAATTCCAAAACATGCCACATTTCTATCAGTTATTCATACTTTCTTGTCTTTTGTGTACTGTAATGTAAAAGTTGCTTTATTTGGGATTTTTTAATGTGCAAGACTCCTTGACATTTTGTCTCCTTTCTTTTGGTTTAGTGTTAACTAGATTAAGTTAGTTAACTGGATAATTACGCAGTTTATTTCTTTAAGGTAGCGTAGCTGTACTTATAACTCTGCCTGATTGCTTAGAAAGGAGAAAATTAGTCTTATCAAATGTTTGAACTTTAAAATAGCGTCTGTTTTGACACTTGCGATATTTAACAGTTGAATCACATTGGACCTTCCATATTTCTGATGATTCTATATAGTCCCTTTCAAAATATTTGCCTAAGTTGTTATTATTAACCATGCCCCTAGTTTTTCCTAGAGTGTTTTGCCTAATTTAACATATTTTTCTGTTTTAACAAACTAGACATTGAGGGGGAGTATGAGGATAACATCTGACAAGTAGTCAGACTTCCACAATTGCTAGAACTGCCAAGTCACCTTCCATCTGAACAAGTAATTTGCTGCTTTAGTATTCTGTATCTCTTTGTGTGCTGAAGCAAAATTAAACATAGCACAACCCAAATTTACTATTAAAAGCAGGTTGCTCTCTTAGTAACTTCAATTTTTAGAATCCTGCTACTGACATACTTGGCCCGGATCCTCTAGCTTGCTGAGTTGTTGACGTTGCTTTCAATATTAGTTACATGCCTGAAGGGCAGTTAGATTTCGACATACCTCTTGAGCCTACAGGTCTTACAGCTTCTCTTTTCTTGCACGCAAGAAGAATCCTTTCTGGGTTCAGACATACAAGTGTCCTTGTCTGTATTATAGAAATAACTACTTAGGGCAGTTTTTGTAAAAGTCGTGGTGCAGCGTGATACTGTGCATGAGTATGTAAGTGCAGCCCAGTGATCTTAGAAGTTCTGCAAGGAATTCACAGCACCTCACTGAATTGGACCTAGTGATCCTGCCATCATGTAATTTGTTGTCACTGAAGTCATTACAAGTGGCTTTCAACCAGATCTGCCCACCAGTGCAACTAGTTACATGGTCTCATGATCACTAAATTTGATTCAAGGGAAAAAAAAGGAACAGGAAAATAACGGGAAGCTGACAAGAATGGAAACTCTTATCAGAAGCTCATAGATAGGTCAAATTGAGAGTATTTTGAAACTTCTCCTTTTCCCCCACTTTTTAAATTAAGATAGTTGTGCATATCTGCCTAAGAGAGGTGTTTAGTGAAACGAAAGTTTTGTGAGGTATTTTAAGGTCTCTGATGAAATCATAATAGAATCCTGAAGTACTAATTACTGCTTCAAACATAGGTGTTTCTCTGCCAAATATCTCCTTCACCTTCATTGTGGAGCTGTTGTGAGTTGTAATTTACACTTTAAATTATTTATATATTACTATATATATTACTATTATATAAAGTACTGTAAAGTACTTTGTAGAGACTATTAATGATTAATATATATATTATAGTAGTTTGTAGAGTCTGTTCATGATTAATTCTAACATTTGATGCTGACTTCAAACTGGTGCAAGTGTTCTCAAACTACAGGATACATTCTGACATATGACAATGTAAACTTTTCTCCTCACAGCAAACTGTTATCACAAATTTAAACAACACGGATTTTCATGGCAGTGGCTACACAAGGTAATTTACACAGATCTCCTTGTTACTTTGCTCCTTGCAGGGTGAAGCTGGTTATAATTCCATCTGGTAGAGATACACGCTGAAGAGATTGTAGCATTCTGCTGACTTCACAATTTAATAACGTACTTAAAGCAGTTTAAAACATAGGCTTCTCACATTCACTCTAGTTCTACTCTGAATTATTTCTAGATGACCACCGTATGGTCATGATGTTGGTCTAGATGACCACCATTCTCAGCATTTTATCTTAAGAGATGAAGAATGTGGAAGTTTTAAAATAAATAAAGCTTCTAAGACCTCGGTTGTTTGCCCTCGTACACCTCGGTGTGTTTGTGTAGGACAGGTGGTGTGGATCAGCTTCCAGGAAATACTGCAACATAAATGTGAAAGGAGCGGTCAGAAAGATGAGGAGCAAAGCCACGAAAAGCCCTTCTGTTTATTGCACTGGCATAGCCAAACTTGCCAAGCGTGATCAGGGACCTTTGGTATGCCAAATTATCCTGTCATATAGGAAAACCTGGTTGCTGCTTCGAAGGGTTTACTGTCTCAATGTAAAGTAAAAATACAACTGACACAAAATATATCTGTAAAATTCCTGCGGTGTATTTGGCAGAAAATGAAATCCTCACTGATAAACGAATGAGGCTCTGGAACATTCTCCTCTAGAGGTACTGGGCCCAAAATACAGTAACTACTGTTAAGGCACAGTTTGACAAATACATGCCGTACATTGCAAGACGGGGTTGCCTGCGGTAGTTTGGGACTCTGATCAGCAACGCTGCTGTGTTCCCGTACAGAGCGCAGGGGGCGAAGGCAGCAGGAGAAAGGAAGGAAATGTTTGATCATGAAAGTTATGCAGCTACTTAAGTTATGTATGTACTTGGTATTTTGGAATCGACTGAACATTCTTAAACCAGTTGCACTTGTAGTCTGTATTTTAAGTATTTAATCATCTTTGTTGTTTATTTATGTAGCATGTCCATTATTTACGGAGTGTTCTCTGCATCAAATCTTCTGTCACCTTCAGTGGTTGCGATAGTAGGGCCTCAACTCTCCATGGTTGTTAGTGGCGTATTTTATAGGTAAGTATTAATTCTGAATTTTTGTCTGCTTCCTTTGAAGTCTTTCTTTCATTTTTTCACGCCTAAGGCTACCGTGCCACACATGAAATTGTGCTGGCTGAGGAAGGCATCTTGCAGAGATACTGTCTGTATCAGTAGATGTGTAACTGCAGAGTACGTCAGCCTGCTGGAAACAGAGTATATTTTTTCCACAGCATTTCCAGACTTTGCTGACTGTGGAGTTCGGGTTGTGGTCTCAGATTAATGGCTATATAAAACAAAATTCTACATGCTTAGTGGAGTAAAAAGATTACATGTGCGACCTAACTGTTTTCTAATGTCACTTAGGAGAGAGTAGCTGATTTGGAAGCAGATAAGTGAGATACCCGATTGTTGAAGAGCATTGTCCCCTTCAAGTCTATATTCAATAAACTGATCTGTTCTATTCTAGCTTGTACATTGCAGTTTTTATCCAACCTGCTACATGGGCTTTCTACACTGCTTCTGTTTTTATTGGCATTGCAGCTGCTGGTAAGCATAGTTCTCACCTTGCTTACTATTCTTTGCTACATTTGAATATACCTCTAAAATATTTTTATTTCCTGAGCAATATATTCTGTGTATTTCAGTGCTCTGGACAGCACAGGGAAATTGCTTGACTGTAAATTCTAATGAAAACACCATTGGAAGGAACAGTGGAGTATTTTGGGCGCTCTTGCAGTCCAGGTAAGCTTTATTTGTTACTCTTTTTTTTTTGGTTGTGTACACATTCTACTTCTTACATCTTTTGGTAAGTGAGAGACTGCATCAAAAAGTACTCTACTGGTACCTTGCAGTCAGGGAGGGAGAGCTGGAAGCAACATTTCTGTTGCTATCGTGCATTATAGAACAACGAGTGGAAGTTACATCTTGCAAGCCTCTGCTCTTGATGTGCTGAAAGAATAGATTTCTGTTAGGAGAGCGTTTTGACATATACAACAGAAATCTTGTTGATTGTGGAGGGCTGTGCTAGTTTGTGTCAGGATCCTGAGTGCACTAGTAAGGCCTGATGGTCCTGAACCACCTCACCTGGGGCTCCACCACACCCTTCCCATCTGCCCATGGGCCCCATTTAAACTCAGCCCTGGGCCTTCACTTCCTCTGGAGCTGGGTTGGAGGAGTACTGGTCTGCAGTTTGGCCCCAGCTGTGCCTGTGGATCTTGATGGTCTTGACACCAGTTTGCAGTCTGACTTCCCATCTTGCCTTTGTCTGTGTTGTCACTGTGGATCTGCGTGGCAATCACCGGACCTGATTCTGGCTGGTGGGCTGACTTCCAGGCTTGAACTCAGGCCTACCTCTTCAACACACGCTTGTGTGATGGTCTGGACCTTCTGTTGACCCTGCCTACAGTCTTCTCTGTTGGATGTGTTATCCCCTGGACTCCCAGCCCTCCTTCCCTGAGGGAGCAGCTGGGCCTTGCTGCTCTCTGACAAGTTGGAGTGAAAATACTAAAGTTGGTCCTGGCACCCAGAAGTCAGAAAAGAGATCTTGTTGTGGGTAATACTCTGATACTAAGCTTAGAGTGCTGCATCGACCCAAAAAGTCAACAAAAGGCTCAGCATCAAGAAGGGGAGTGAGAACATGGTAGTGGTTGCTGTGTTGCTGCTATCGAGTACTTTGTGTGCCTGTGGTTTATGCCTCTCAGATGAGTTGTAATGTCATTGGGGTATAGGGAACAGCAACAAGAATGCACAGGAAGACAGAGCTGCTGGTTTGAAGAGAGCCTGAAAAGGCTGGGACCCTTTCCTCTAGAGAAAAGGCGTCTGAGGAGGTTTATACTGATGTGTGACTAAAACACGAAGGCAGCAATTGAGCTGAGTGTAGAACTGCTGCTTGGTGGATGCTGCTGTACTAGAGCTCTGGTCACTTGGCGAAACTAGAAGAGGATTGGTTTGAAACAGATAAAGTGCTGCTTTACACAATGGGTAGCTAAACTTTGGCACTTGCTGCCACAAGGGAGTATAGAGTTGGATGGTGTCAGCAAGATCAAGAAGGGATCAAACAAATCCAGTGGCAACAGGCCCACAAACAGTTCCTGAAGAGAGACACCTTCTACCACCCCTGATGTAGCACTTCTGGATATTGGGAGATAGCGAGGGGAGTGAATTGCAGGAAGCTTAGGCTGGTGAGCCTGCACTAGGTGGCATTGTTAATGCTGTTGTAGGGACAGAATACTGGATTAATAGGACATCAGTCTGAAACAGTGGCACACTTGTGTTCTGTAAGTGTCAGGTTCAGGAATTAACATATCAGTAGGTTATCAAAGTAGCAATTTCCACAAACACAACTAATTGTGTGTTTTATAGTCAGTAAAATGCATGGTTTTATATGAAGAATCTTTAAGGCTGTCTTGAATCACGGTTCATTCAGAATTACTGTGTTTTGGGAAACTGTAGGTAGGAACACGGAATTTCCCTTGGGCTGTTAACAACCACTTTAGTATTGTTGGGGTGATACTTCAGGCAAGACACATGACTCTTCTAAGGAAGTATCAAGAAGTCATCTCCATAAATGTCAGCTTTCTAACTTAGACCCTTCCAAAATTAGAGAGGCAACTTAGATGCAGATTTCTTCCTTTTGCTACCACCTTGTGTTTTGATTCTTGAAAATAAGTAGCCAGCATTGTGGGGAAGAATCCTTTACTGCGTGTGAAGTTTTATACAGAATAAGCAGTTTGTGTGGAGAGTGACTACTGTCTTTATTTCTTTCACTATTGCACAGTACTATTTTTTTTGCATAGAACAGTATTACTGTGATGCTACAACCTTAATCTTGCCACAAAAAGCGCTGTTCACCCGTGTTGTCCTTTTTGTTTACAGCTTGTTTTTTGGAAACCTCTATATATACTTCGCTTGGCGAGGGAAAACTCACATATCAGGTGCGTATTGCTTGTTTGTATGGGAGGCCATCCTTTAGAGTATGGTAGCATGAATAAACAGATGAAATACTGAACTGGAAAGTGGTGAGAAAATTACACGATATCAGACAAATTTTTCTTCCAATTTATTGTTAGATTCGCTCTTTTTGGAGTAGGTTTTTGATTCAGTGTTCCATGGTACTCGTGGCCCTTGTATTATGTGTGTTATTTTGCTGCGTGCTGTGCACTGAGTACCTTCTGTTTGAATATTGTCTATGAAATTCTGCAGAATGCTAGTTTAGGATAAGGCTTTCCACAACAGCTACTCTGGGATTTTTCCCTGTGCAGACACGGTTATGCCAAAATAAGCATATTTGGGGGGAAAAGTGTTCTGGAAAGGCTGTGTGGTTAACAAACACGGCTGTCCTGTTCCAGAGTAAGTCCCTGGTGTAAACTCTCCTGCTAAATCAGGTTGGAGACTGATTAACATATGAGATAAAGGAAAAGGAAGGAAAACCATCCCAGTTCACTTATGGCTGCCCTAATTGTGCTGGCACAAAGTGGTGTAGCAAGGCAGGGACTGGGATGTCCAGCTGGACTGTGACTGGGCTGCTGCTGCTTACACGGGCAGCCCTGCTGGAGGAGTGTGCAAAGAACTTAGTCTTCCTTTCTTGGCGTAGTTTATGAAGACAAACTTCCTGACGGGATTGCAATGAATACTATAGTTTTATTTTGACGTTGTGCTAGAGTGGTAAAGGGCAGGAATTGGAGAACAGTGGTCTTAATATTCTTAAGAAGCTGGGTAGTGGTTGACTCAGTGGTTTTGAAGCAGAGATTTCTGGCAGCTGTTAAAGTGAGGCAAGGTAGGTGGGGGTGTCAACTGAGAAAACTGCAATGGTGAAAATAAAGCAAAATCTAAGATTTTGAATATAAAAACCAAACATTGCTGGAAACCCAACGTTTTGTAAACCAATTGGGTTGATTGTCTTGTTCTGTAATGACTGAGGGTTTTCCTTATTGTAGTCTTAGAGTAAAATACCTACTAGAATGGTCAATTCTTTTAATGTTTAAAGATGAGGCAACTGCTGTAGTCAGTCAGGAATAAGATATTGACTTTTAAATTACAATTATCAGGCTTCAGAAATACTGCCCTGTTGAGATGAGTAGTCCACTTCATGCCTCTGTTAGATCCGTCTTTTCAGGTTCTCTGCAGATGTGGGCCTGGTAGTACAGCACCGGTTAATTTTTTAAAGGTCATCTTCCGCATTCCTTTGCATTTAACACAAAGGTCTAAATGTTATTGAAAGTATTGGAGACACTTTGAACCTGGTGGGCCTGAAATTCTGTGCATTCTAAATTTCATTGCTCTTGCTAACCACAGAATGAAGCAATTAACGATGAGGGAGTTCTGCTGTTGCATTTTCCCCATCTTTAAATGTCTTGAGACTCCTCTTGATTAGAAAATGTATCAAAAGATTTAACAGCATTTAAAAATCAATTCCTCCTTCCTTTTACCACCTGTATAAAAATATTACAGGCATTTCAAGGTGAAGCATATAATCCCTTTTTGATCTGTAATCATACGCTGGTTACTTTTAATTGACATAGGACAATTTTACATTTACCTTTAAGGTAAAGGGGCGATAAATACAAGTGCAGGCAATATCTTCACAACCACACACTAGTTCAGTCACACCTATTAGCAGTTTCTTGGCTTTTCTTTCCCCTGCTTAATATTTGTAAATGGGAATGACTTTGGTATTGCAGACTTTCCTGTGCCAAACGAGTTGGTGCAGCAGAGCTCGTGCATAGGGCAGCCATTCCTCCAGCTGCGTCCTCTGTGCTGCACCAGTTAGGTTCCAGGGGTTGTAAGGCCTTTGTAGTTTACAAGCCTACCAGTTTACAGTGTTACGGTGCTAATATTTCTGATGCTGGTAAAGAGCTTTTTATTTTTTTTTTAGAAATCTGAAGGGGTTTGGGGTAGTTTGCTGTGTCCACTATGAATTACTTAAGTCTTGAAAGATGTACTTTCTTCTGCTAATGATTTATGCACTGCCTTTGTTAATTGGCTCCTCCTTGGTCATAGCCTTTGCATGGCAGAAAATGTGAGTGACACTCTTTAATAAGCCAATATTTTATTGGCGCCATAAAACTGAGACAGGAATTTGCCAGCAGCTGGGTACCTTTTGCTCCATGTGAAAGGTAAGGTAGGAAATGAATGTGTTTTACACGCAGTTACATAGTGTGTCTGTATGAGTGCTTTGAAGGGAGTTGCTTGGTCTGAATTGCTTTTGCACATCTAGTTATGGCTCCTGTTTGTTTTTCCACAGAGAGCGATCGCAGAACTGTCTTCATTGCTCTGACTGTTATCAGTCTTGTGGGCACAGTTCTGTTCTTTCTGATTAGGAAACAAGAGGACACAAAAGCTCCAGGGGAGGACGATTCTGCTAATGAAGTCCTGGGGGACAGCTCGTAAGTGCTTATGGCAATAACATGTTGTCACGTAGACTTGTTTGTGCGCCTGCTCCTCGGTGGAACATCGTGCCTTCACTTTTCTGTCTACACTGGAAACAGGAATGTTATCAACAACCTGTAGAGTTTACAGAATTAATGGAGAAGTGTCTGTACTTTAACAAGTGAGAATTAACGTTCTTTATATGACATATATTCAAGGTGGAGTGCAGTACTGCACATTAAGTTTTTCCATTAATAAGCGCCTTCGGAAAGATACTTTTTACTACTTTTCTCCACTGATTATTATTAAACTTGTATCTGCCTTTCATAATCTGTCTTGCCCTCATCAGCCCAGTTTAAAGGCTGGAATAAGCAGAATTTACTGCGTTTTTATAGGTTATCTTTATATATTGAATCATGTTTTTCATGTCTTCCCTAAACATATATGTGCCACTCTGATAAATACATTAAAAATGCATAGGTACATAGATAGATTTAGTACGGTTTTGCCTGAGGCATCAGTTTAAATATTTTTTGCTTTATTTAACGATCAATGAAAATGTTAGAAAAACGTCAGTAAGTATGCCAGTGAAAAAATGTTCAAAGCTAAAAATGCTCAGAAGAAAGATTCTGTTAAGCAGGTTAATTTTTGAACGGCATTCACTAGTGCAGAAAGCAAAGAGATTTTGTGGTTAGTAGTTTAGATTCTCAGAAACTTTTAAGAATACATTAGGATATTCCAGTATATAGTGCTGGGCTAGAAAATAAACAAAAAACTTGAAAAATGAAACTACTTTCCAGCATAGCGATACTGTGTGGTTATTCTTTTTCCATTTTGACTAAGTTGTTTGTTTACCCAGGTCTGCCCAAAACAAAATGATGAGAGCAGTGGCTGCCTTCAGTAAGTACTGTTTCACCTAAGAGTTGCTTCAGAAAATACTGACGTACCCTTTCCAGCTCTTCATGATTCTGCTGATAACGTGATCATGTACAAACCACTTAGAACAAACATTTGTGAACAAATAAGGTTTTAAGAACGCCTTTCAGTTATTCCACGGAAACCTAAGCAGAAAATTGTCTGCTAATTGAAAACTGTGTGTTCCCTCTATAATAGTTCTCCCCTCGCATTTCTTATGAAAAAGGATTTCAGTTAATGGCATTTCTTTCAAAGGGCAAGTCAGGGTTGGTTTATTTAGCACTCTATTTACTGTAATAGTCACAGTTTGCGTAATTTTAACCTATTTTTGCAAAGAGCAAAAGAAAGTGTAGATTATCTTAGTAGTGCTATCGGTTATATTAATTTCCATTGTTATGTCTTTACAGAGAAATCGATAAAGCTGAGCTTCACCAAAGAGATTCTGCTTCTCAGTGTTACAACAGCCTACACAGGTATGAAGCAAGCAGTGTATAATCATGTGGCATCGTCAGGGCACTGTTTGGAATTTCAGCCCCCCAGCAGGACTGCAATTCTGTGTCTGCACACATTACTTGAATATTTGAATTAACTTTGAACACGTCACAACATTTCTGTGTTGAGAGGTGTGCCTAAATCTGCAAATTATTACCGAGGTGGTAATGCTGGGTTCGGTACAGTTCTGGGTCAACCAAATTGAGGGCTAGGCAAAATTTAGCTGTTCATGTGATTTAGTGTTACACTACCAATGGGTTGTAGATTGTCTAAAGCAGTTTCATTTCATTTGAATTAAAATTACTTTTGTAGGATACACTTTCAGTATCCCCTCCATTGAGGCACAGGAGATTATGAACAGTCTTCATTTTAGTCTTGGTTCTATTGGGAAAAAGTTTAGCTGTTTTCAACTGGTTTTGTCACTAGTATTTGCTGTGGCAAGAGCTCTCTTTAGCAACTTTAGTTAAACCTGGTCTGCCACTGTTAGACCAAGGTGTGAGTTGTAAAATAAAAATACATTTATCTGTGTCATATACTAAATTGATTCTTCTACAAAAATACTATAAAATGTTCAAAATGTTGTTGGAATCCTTTAATGGGTTTGGGGGGGGTTTCTTGCTCCTTACTTGGCTTCAGATGCGGATCTGTTCATGATAAAGTTAAGTTTTAGGAAGAATAGAAGTATTTTCAGAACCTCAGCTGTGAGTCACCATTATGAAAAACTGTTGTTAGCTCTTGTAGGTGAAAAGAAAGGCTTGGGTGTGAACAAACTATAAACAGTGCCATAACATCTGCCGCAGGTTGTGGTCAGCTTCTGGTAGAGAAATAGCAATAGCAGCTGTGAAATCAGCTTGCACCAGCCACTGATGAGTGACAAGTTACTTCACAGCATCTCCACTGTTGTGCTAACCCCAATTAACTAACTGGATTTCCTCTAGAAGTTTAGTGCAGTGGGAATGTGAA